TTTTAACTCTGTTAAAGTCCAAATTCAAATTCATGAACAAGCAACTCTATTGATCCTTTAAAATAGTACCACACAATTGAGAATCGGAATAAATAAGATTTCAAATCTCTACATTAATATAAAAAGTACACTAGAGTTAAAGTGCAAATAACATCTTTTTTCTATGAATTAAACTTGAACTTGCCCTTTTGCCTACCGTATTCAAAATTTTCAACAAAATGAGGAAGCTATATCACTCCCAGATTTGAATAGCTAGCCAACAGTTCAGTAAAAAGAATGTGAAGGAGGAATTACATCTTTTAAATATTTTATAATGTTGTTATAATCTTCTTACAATTGCAGAGCTTAACTTTAAAAACAGAAGAAAATAGTTTTAATGAGATTCAAAAATGAACAATGTGGCCTCCCTGGTGACTCAGTGCCATCAAGTTATCACCAGCCACTGCAGCATGAGTTCGATCCCTGGCCAGGGAGCTACCCACATGGCACAGCAGACCTCTCCTGTCTCACCCACTGCTCCCCTCAGCAGTGTATTTCTGTAGATCTGCCTGTTCTCTCCCCTCTTTGTCTCTGGTAAATCCTCTCATCCCCACACCTCTGTTCTTGTATGCATAAATGAAAATAAATCTTAAAAAATAAAGGAAAAAATGTAAGCAGAAAACTTATAATTTTTACACATAAAAAATTATAACTTACAAATAATTTTTATGATAAAAATTATAGTGATCAGGCCATAAATTGTCCACAAGGAGGAATCTGGTAGGAAATGAACTTCACTGGGAATCATTTTTAAATTTCTTGATACTACAATATTTAAGTATTACAAGGAAGCACTATTCCTAAAGGTCTTCCTGAGTTAATCCTTTTCAGTAGAATGAGTCAGATGGTATGAAAAGTAGTGGAAGAAAGATAAATCGTGTGTGTGTTTGTGTAAAGGGAATTATTATAGAATTACTAATTCTTGGATCGGAGCTGGGCGCTCAAGAATTTCATATGTGTTTTAAAAGCTTCAAATAACTAGAAAATAAAAGCTATCACAGTGCTATATCTGTATTATAATTTCATATAATTTTTTGTCACATTTCTTTTCCTTTCCTCCTGTGATTCCTACCATGAAGACATTTTAGTTTCCATTGCTCGTTTCAGTTTCCTAAATTTGTTCGACTTGAAGAGTTTCTTCAACAATTCCCTTTTTTTGACCCCTCCAGGTGTTTAGCCTTGCTCAGTCCTAACGTTTTTTCTATCCATGACTCCAACATTCTTTTGCGTAAGTCATGTCCTGTTTACCTTGGAGCTCTGCCTGATAAAAGACAGGCGGTCCACGGAGCTGATGTCCAGGAGGTCCTCCACACCATCTGCCAGGCCAGAGAGGGAGGATCGTTTCAGCCAGTTTCCTATTTAATAATTAAAAAAAAAATTAGGCCATTATAGAAATTTGCTCCCAAATAGACTAAACAGAATTGTCAGCCTGCCCCCAGCAAGCAATGAAAGTTACATGGCTTGATGTCAATAGAAGTGAAAACAAATTGTTTTCTTTTTTTTTTTTAAACAGAGGCATGTTTTTATTTATTTATTTGTTTGTTTGTTTTGTTTACACATGCACTGGGTACAGTCAGAAGCGCAGGAGGGTGAGAGAATTCACCAGGGCCAGAGCAGGGAGCAGAGCAGGCAGAAGGACCGAAACACACTGCTGAGGGGAGCAGCGGGCGGCAGGAGAGGTCTGCACGCCATGTGGGACCCTCCTCCTGTGGCCGGGGAGCAGCCGGGGATCGAACCGGCGCCGCAGAGGCTGCGGGCCGCTTCGCAACCCAGCGCTCAACCGCTGCGCCACTGGGGAGGCCCCCAAAACAAATTGTTTTCAATCTATATGCTTTGAGTCAAAATGTTCCGTGTTAAACTATAAAATTACAAGTGTTAGTAAGAACAGAAACAAAAGACCCTAGGCCTCTTTGGTGAATAAAACTATAATCCATTCAGTTCTTTTGACAACTTTCATATGTTTCAATAAGTCCTGTTGACTTTGCCGACTCAATATTTCTCAGATCCACTTCTTTCTGTCTGCGTGATCACCAGCCATTTCAAGCTACCATCACTTATATCCATTTGACTAGAAAACCTTCTACTGGTTTCCCTCACACACTGATGTTTCCTCCAATGTTTTCCACACAGTGATCTTTTATTTCCTTAAAAAAAATTTTAATTGAGCTAACATTGGTTTTCAACACTGTATATGATCTAGGGGAATAGGTTCCTACCTCCTCAGATGTATGTTACCATATCACAGCCACCACCAATGCACCAAGAGTCTTTTACCCTAGACCATTGGGTCTCCCTCCCTCTTGTTCCCTCCCCTACTAGCCTCCCCACTTCAGCAGCATTAATTCTGTAGTCATATTTCCAGAGTTTGTTTTGGCTTAGTTTTGTTGCTTGCTTTGTTTGTTTCTCTATATTCTTTTTTTTAAGATTTATTTATTTATGCATACAAGAACCAGGGTACAGGCTAGAAATGTGGAGGGGTGAGAAGATTCACCAGAGACAGAGTGGGGAACAGAACAGGCAGACTGACTGAAATATACTGCTGAAGGGAGCAGCGGGCGAGTCAGGAGAGATCTGCTGTGCCATGTGGGTAGCTCCCTGGCCAGGGATCGAACTTGTGCTGCAGAGGCTGTGGATAGCTTCATAGGTTGTGTCTTAACCCCTTGCGCCACCAGGGAGGACTGTTTCTCTACATTCTACAGATGAGTGAAATTATCTGGCATTTGTCTTTTTCCTTCTGATTTAGTTTAATTAGCATGATTCTCTCTAGTTCTTTCTATGCTATCACAAATGACAAGAGTTCATCTTATCGCTTTCTGGCCTTTTGGCTAAGATCAAGTGAAGAGTTCATCTTTTTTATAGTTGATTAGTATTCCATAGTGTACATAAAACACATCTTCTTAATCCATTCCTCTATTGTCAGGAACTTAGGAAGTTTCTATAAGCTGGGTATTGTAAATAGCTGTGCAATGAATACAGGAGTGCCTATATCCCTTTGAATTAATGTTTTTGCATTCTTTGGGTAGACAACTAGGCATGGAACTGCTGGTTCATATGGCATATCTATTTTTAATATTTAAGGGACTTTCACACTGTTTTGCATGAAAAAAAAGTTTGACATCACTTATCATCAAGGAAATGCAAATCAAAACAATGAGATACCACCTCACACCTGTAAGAATGACACATATCAAACAAACCACAGAAACAACAAATGTTGGCAAAGATGTGGGTTGGAAGGAACCCTCATACAGTATTGATAGGAATTTAGACTGGTTCAGTCCCTACGGAAAACAGTATGACCTTTCAGAAAAAGTTTATTTTCTTATATTATCCCCATGTTCAGCTATAGGATGAAGAGTCAACTTGTCCTGAAAGGCCCCAGTGTTCTGGTCTCTGTCAATCTACCATAGCCAGTTTTCTCTTTTCCATCCCTCCTCCAAATACCTGTGCACATTTAATTGCTACCACCTACCTATTTTCTTTAAGCACCCTGTACATTTTAATATCACTTCCTCCAGCTAGTCTTTCCCAATTCCTCCCTCCTCCGAACACTTAGGTTAGAGCTTATAGTTGCATGCTTTCACAACACTATGTACATTTCCTTCATAAAATTCATAGTTTGCAACTATACTTGGTTGCATGATTATCTGCTTTAGTAACTATCACCTCTACTAGACTGGGAGTTCAGCAAAGTCATGTGCCATTTTGCGCACCATTTAGTCCCTAACACCTAGCATATTATTTGCACACAGTTAAAGCATATAGTAGGCACTTGAGAAATATCTGCTGAATGACAGGATGAATATGAATGAATGAATGAAGTGAGCATATGACTTGTGACTTGAAGGCTTTCCCCTTCTCTACACTACCCTGCATTGCTATTTTGGTTGTGAATTGATTGAGGACATGGGACATAGTAAGAGAACCCATAAATAAATACAGACATACTTTTACCTATGGGGAGTTTAAGCTTCTTCCGGAGGGAAATTCTGCGGGACCGTGAACGGGCACGCCGGTCAGAGGTGGTCCCTGAGTGGGCAGTGGTGCACTCAGAAGTATCCTGCTCAGACTGGCTGCTGGTGTCGCTTGCTGCACTCTGGGATTTGAACATCTTGCGCCAGAAATCTTTTCGTCCCAGGTTTGCCCCTTGCATTTGTTCATCACTGTAAACAATCAGAGGATAAGAATCAACAGGTAACACATGTGAAATCCACTTAACTTTTTTCAACCTCCTGCCAATGACATTGAGGCAAGTCATGCAGGGTGATCTTTGATGAACTGGGAATTAGAACGAGTAGGAGTGGAAGGAGGGAGACCAAGTTGAGTCTCTGAGCTCCTCCTAAAACACGTCATGCCTCAGCTGTCAAACAGAGGTGATCACTTTTTTTAATGTTAATAAAAAGACTAAATATTATTGCAGGTATTCATCTGCAATGTGAGTCATAATAGCGGAAGCACTTACAATGTCAGTAAATATTTAACTACTTTTTTTTTTTTTTACTATTTCCTAAGGCATTCGCAATACCATATTTTACTTTCTACTGCCACCCCAGTATAGCAAGATTCTTGGCACCAAATAAACTCACAAAAAATAATTGAGCAAATAAATGAATAAATAAAATGCAATATCCATACCTATAGACTGTATCATCCCACAACTGCTCATTTAATTATATTGTTGGATTATTTCATTCTTTTTTTTTTAAAGATTTATGTATACAAGAACTGGGGTACAGGCAGAGGTGTAGGGGGTGAGAGGATTCACCAGAGGCAGAGTGGGGAACAGAACAGGCAGACTGACTGAAATCCACTGCTGAGGGGAGCAGTGGGCAGGCGAGTCAGGAGAGGTCTGCTGTGCCATGAGGGTAGCTCCCTGGGTGGGGCTCAAACTCATGCTGCAGTGGCTGTGGATAGCTTCATAGGTTGTGTTTTAACCTTTTGCGCCACTACGGAGGCCTATTTCATTTTCTTAAGTCAAATAAACTGAAGTAAGACTGAAAAGTAAGAAAAAAAATCATACCAACTCACTAAAACATGGGAAACTGCCAAAGGGTTTTTTTAATTAAACTTTTTTATTTTCTTACATGGTTGTTTATTTTAAAACAATACCTGATTTTTTCCCCTCAGGTGTAGTCCCAAAGGGGTGCTTGGCTAGGACATTCCAGAGGAGGAAGAACAGTGGCCAAAGGTATTCAGAATTGAATCTCTCTATGAATAATTTAAAAAAGGCTAATTGAAATGAGATTCCCATTTTCATTCATTAAATTAACCAAGACTTGAAGGGAAAAGACAAAGTAACTGTTACTATCATCCTGCCAATGATGAGATAAAGTAACTCAACTTTCTAGAAAGTAGTTTAGTAATAAGCTTTCCAAAGCCCTGTATTTGTATCTATACCAAAGGCAGAGAAATACAATCTCCAGGCAGTTATCCCTAGGAGATAATGAAACAGCACACTGAGAAGTTGATGCAAAGAGGTAGAAAGCTCACTGAGGTGTTATGGGTCAACACTGAAAACTTGGGAATCATCTAAATGTTCATTTTGAAGTTGGGGAGCTTGATACTTGCATTTTCGTTCGATTTTTTTTTCCCCTCAGCAGTGTCTTTGCTATTCAAGGTCTTTGTAGTTCCAAGTAAATTTAGTGATTTGAAAAATAAAAATAAATTGATAGTAGAGGACATTGCAATGGTTATCAGGGCCAGACAAAGGTGAAATGGACTGTTCTGTTTCAGCTAAAACAGGGCACAAAGAGTTTGCCCTACGTATTGTTACAAAATTTTCATTGGGGGGCCTCCCTGGTGGCACAGGTGTTAAAGACACAGCACTATCAAGCTATCAGCAGCCACTGCAGCATGAGTTCGATCCCCGGCCAGGGAAGTGACCCACATGGTGCAACAGACCTCTCGTGTCTCACCCGCTGCTCCCCTCAGCAATGTATTTCAGTACATCTGCCTGTTCTGCTCCCTGCTCTGTCTCTGGTGAATCCTCTCATTCTCCCACACATCTGGCCTGTATCCCAGTTCTTGTATGCATAAATAAATCAATCTTTTAAAAAAAGGAAAATCTTTATTGAATATGCTGATAGTCATTCATACATTTAAATTTAAGAAGTCGTAAGTGATTTTAAGTAGATAACATCCCACCCCATCTGTTACACATTATTTTTCATTATCTGCAGGTGTGTGCATGAAAAGCTTAAGTGGGGCAAAGACTGGAAATGGGAAATGCAGTGAAGGAGGCTTCCTGTAGGTATGAGACTGGTTCTTTGTGATTTGTCCTTGCAGACATCAGTGGAGCTGGGAATGAGAGGTAAAGGGCAGAAACAAGGCAAAGTGCAAAGGATATGAAAAACAAGCAAACAAATAGAATAGAAAAATGGAATTTCCTCCAGTGGACAGTGCTCGGCCCACAGCTACTTACTGCTCTGGAGTCTGGGAGGGCCGGCCAGACATGAAGCTGCGGCACTCCTCAGGTGCGGACACCTGGCCCTTGTCCACGATGATTCCTGCCTCCGACCTGGCAAACGGCACATCCACCAGTCAAAACACATCAGCGTACCACCTCGCGAAACTTCCTAAAGCCAAACACTTGTAGACAAGCAACACAGCTTGTAATCCTATGACACTGAGAATCTATGTGGCGTGGTATTTAAATCCTATATTTGACTGAAGACCTAGCTGCCTGAGTGCCCAAAAATATCAGCATCATTGCAAACAGATTCATTCACTACAATCAGGAATTTATTTTTAGAATTTTCTTTTATTCTTCCTAGTGGCATTTTGTTGCGAGCCAGCTGCAGCAGTCTGGGTGTCAGTGGTTCCTGAAGGATGGGACAGCGTCGGCGAAATCGCGAGGAAAGGGGAAGGGGAAATGAGGAGCCGCAGACACTTGATCAGGGTGCTGACATCATTCTCCTGAGGGTCTCAGCAGTCCTTTATTTATACTAAGCAAATCATGAGTGCACAAGCATATGCATTAAGGTAGGAAGATAACAATCATCACGTTTTTTCAAGAGCAGACAAAGGTCTGTTTGCCATCCTGCAGAGGTTATAACATTTATTATTCTTTGTCTTAAAGAAGGCACAGTTGCTAAACAAATGTTTTCAAGATAGTTATTTACTTTAAACAACCCAACAGTTATTGTACTACTGGCAAAAAGCCTATGTGTCTGCAACTAACATTTCTAAGTTTGCCATGGTGAACGATTAACTATGGGCTACAGGAAACAAAGGGCAGGAAGTTACCTGGGGGAAGGGAGACAAAGAGATTATTTTTTGACTAACCTATAAAGTTTAGACTAACATATAACTAATTGATTAACGCAAAAAAACAGAAGGCTTTTATATAGAAATCATCATTTATAGTATATTGTTTTAATATTTATTTGATATTAAGGAACCAAGGGCCTGGAGGGCATTAATGCCAGGCAAGTTGCACTGGCTCTTCCCTAGCCCCCAGCTCTCAATCAAGGGAGGAAGTTTCCTAATCTAACAAAAGAGTTTTCTACCTATCACTCCCCTACTTATCTAGTCAGCCTAGTTTCCATATTTAACTTTAAGATCAAGGGGCAATTTCCTCTTCCATAAGGTTGCTGGTTGTTGTTCTACAGAACTACAAATATTTTATCATGGGCAGGATCGGAGATGGTTATAGCCTTTGATTCTCAAAAATGGTCAATATGTTACATATCAGTAGTTGTAACACTGACCATTTCCGAATGCATTATTTGTGCTGCCGTGATTACTAGCTCAACCAGTCACAATATTGCTGTTGACTTATTCTTGAATGCATACTCTAACAGAGTCACATCCAGGGGAATTAGCCCTAAACAAACAGGAAGAATTTAGCAGGAGTCAACTATGGCCTCTCCTGGTTTATCAGGAATTTTCTTATACTTGGAGCATGGCTCACCTCTGCCACCCAACTGTTATCTTTAACTTTAAAGTAAAAGAATTTCCTTCTTCAATTAGCTCTTGCCTCAAGAGACCACATCTCTATATCAAAGACTTGGCCGATAGATGTTTTACAGCCTTTTGTTCCTAGAAGTTTTTCACTTTGTTAATGTAAAGCCAAATGTTGAATTGCTACCTTTTTGGCAGCAAATTTTATTAAAAAACATAATATTTGTATCATGCAGTGCCATTTGTCATCAAATTGGTTATTCAGTGATTGATCAGTATTTGCAGTTTTACTTTTAAATGTGTATTTTAGCAATGGTAGAAACTAGCCATAAACAAACGAGGAGAATCTTGGAGTCAGCTAACGAGATTCCTGATTTTTCAGAAATCTGCCCCATGCCCAGACTTTTGTCAGACGACATGAGTAGCGCGGCTCCCAATAGCATTTCTTGTTGAATAAGCATATAACAAATTTAAATTTACTAGCAGGGAAATCAGCAGAGTACTGCTCAGCAGTTTGTCTTTCTCCAAGTTTAAAATATTAAACTTACTGAACCAAACTATAAGGAATCAGTAATTGCTTTTCCTTTATGGATAAAAATGTAAATTATCTATAGAAGAACAGAGACATAAGTAACATTCTGCCATATAATTAAGAACCATGGAGTGAAGTTCAAGTATATGAGTTTGGGATCAACTGAGCTCATACTGAGATGGGATTTGTTTAGTGGGTAACTCATTCCTTTCTTAAGCTGCAGCCGGATCAGCACTAGTGACTGTATGAATACAAAATCATTCCACCAGCCCTGAAGTTACATGTCACATTTGGAACAACATGAACAGAACAACAGAGGATTGCATGCTGTGGACAGAAGGCTAACGCTAATATTTAGATAGCTCACACTTCCAACCTTTTACTGCCTGCAGGCTTAGATTCTGGTTCATTTTCTTCCACTTTTTTCCCAGGTGCCAACTTCTCAGCGCTGTCAAGCAAAGCACTAAGGGCCACTCTCCTGAAGACATTTCCATGAGCCTCTTTGATAAACTGAACCAGTTGACGGATATCACAATACAGCCCCTATTTGGAAGCAAGAACAAAATTTGGGGAAAGAGAAATAGTTGTGTGATTGAAATTTGCACATGAAGAGGGGAAAAGGTAAAATTCCTTAGGCTTAGATCAGCATTGGAAACCTAAAAGGAAGCAATTTACTCCGGTAAAACAAGAGTATCTATACTATCCATCCATATATCTATCTATCCATCGTTCCTATAGGAACATTTCCAAAAACTGCCCATTATCCACAGTATAAAAAATAGTGCTAAGTATGCTTCATATTCAGAAAGTTGGCTGTATAATTAGAAATATATCACTTTATGCTTTTAGACACTAGATTCCCCAACTTAAATTTTCTCTCAAAATTGTGACTTCTGAAGAGAGGTCTGCTAAAAAGAAAACAATCAGATTTTTGTTTAGACTGGAGATTTCGACCCTAATCAGTTTCTCCAAATTTTCTGCATCACTGTGATAAAATATGCATACTCACTAGAGCCTGATACACAAGAATGACACATTCTGGCTGCCCAGATTGAACAAATGACATTATGTTACAGTTCATTGGAACATGAACATGAACTATAAATTTAAGATTCTGCCTGCCTATTAAAACCAACATGTCGGTGAATTAACCTGTAAATATATATAAGCAGGACTACATTGCCCCCACCACCCCTCCTCCTTCCCTCTTTAACAAGCTCATTGACATATTCTTTGCTTTAGGAAAGGTTCAGGACAAAGCAGTACACAACAAAATCTAAGATTATGGGGACAATTATGCCCATGATCTTCAGAAAAGCAGAAAGGCAGACCACTGAGGAAAACATGGAGAGACAGTTCTTTGCATCTTGTGGGCAACAAGACCCTGTGTCCTCACTATATGTTTTGGTCACTCCGCCAGGGGAGGGAGAAGACCTCAGAGCACAAGGGCACCAAATTGTCCAGACTGCCCAGTCCTGAGAACATCAAAGGACCTTGTGAAATGACAGGTATGGGCTGATCACTGAGTTTCAGGGAGGCTCCCCAGGTTCTAGGCCTTGCCTAAGACCTGGGATTCTTTGCACTGCACTGGGAAGTGGAAACCCAAGAATCAATGAGGTGTTACTTGTAGCCATTCTGGTGGGATTGTGATTCAGTGTCAAACTTAAGATGATTTATAGAAAATTAAGAAATGGAGCTACCACTTCTATACATGACTTTGTGGACTAAACTATGTAAGCATTCATATATATTTGAATTAACTTCTCATATTACTTCTTGCCTGGATCAGGTTGAATGCTTCAATTATTTTCCAGCTTTGAGAACCTTGCTGGGGTGGCTTTGACAGTCAGAAAAATTAAACTCCCTTTGGTTTGGGGTTTTATTGATCTCAAATTAAGTGAATAGTTTAATGATTTAGAATAGCTTAAAATGATTTCCTTGATTTAGGTCGATTAGCAGATAGTGCCCATAAGTATAAATATAATGATTTCTGCACAGGAGTTATAATAAAAGACGGATAATATAGAGAAATGCTTCTTTCAGCCCAGAGAGACCTGAATGCATCTATTCATGTCAGATTTCATCTGCCTTAATCTACATTTAAGTACCCTAACCACAATCACTTTGGTAGCAGTTAAGAACTAACCTTTTAGAGCCTGATTCTCTCCATTTGTGGCTTCCGTGCTTAATTAACAGTCTTTTATGAAGAATAGCTAAAACAATTACAGTGCTCAATAAAAGAAAACAAAATCTATTTCAGTAGAATGCTTGCATTAATTTTTAAAGTATGAGTGGTTCCCAAAAAATGCTTGAGCTCATTCTTTAATAATTCACAATCCAACATGCTATGCTCTAGCACCTTCTTTCTGAAGAGCTGAAAGTAACTTACAGCTATTTCACCAGTCACCACTGAGCCTCTCAGGTGGATGAGGACAATAAGACAATTGGCAGGCAGGTAAGGAGTAACCAGGAGGTATGTGTTGTTGAGACTCCACCAGGAGTTCCTGGTGACATTGGGAAAATAGATATTTTATCTGTAAAGAACAGACTTTCCGTTTTCAACCTATTTCTCCAGGCCAGGACATGAGAACTTTTCTCAGCACAGACTGAGCACACCTGTGGGAAGAAGAGGTAGACTTCTCACCAGATTCTCAGGACTGTGTAATTCATGCGTAGTTGAAGCGCAGCGAGTGATGAGGGATTTAAACATGGCACTGACGATAATGCCTTCCACATTCTGGGCTGTGGATTTGTTGTCCACTGTAGTGAAGTTATTTCCAAACCCAGCCTTGTCTGGAATGCAAATACTCCAATTAAAAGCAATGTTTCCATATAGGGGAACCAAATAAGACATCAGTGTAAAAAAATAACAGTACAAAACACAACAAAGCAAAAACGGACTATTATAAATTAGAGACGTACTGCAGGGGAGGAGGTGGAAGAGGGATCAGAGGGAGGAAGGGAGGAGCACAGGAGACTGTGGTGATGGTGCACAGGTGCACTGAGGAAGGAAATTCTATGGGGACTACACCTGAGGGGGTGGGGGGAAGCAAATATTGTTCAAAAATAAAAATAAAAAATAAAATAATAAAAGCAATGTTTCCAGGAGGCTACACAGTTTAAAGAAGTCATGAAGTACTTAGCACCCAGGAATTAGCAAAAGGCTACACAAAATATAGAAACAGACGGTTAAACATACCCTTGCTTTAAAAATCTCTATGTGGAGCTGTAGATAAATGACTCAGTCTCCTTCAATCTTTATGGAGATATGTAGCACATGTCCCACAGTATTTTATTTTCCTGAAGTAACATTGGTTTACAATTTTGTTTGTGATTTAGAGGAATAGGAGCCCCTCCTTCAGGTGGTTACCACTCCACACACACACCCAAAACACCCACAGTCCCCCCTCCATAGCTCATTGTGCACACTCCCTACTTTCATCTCTCCCTTAACTTCTCCCCCTCTGAGAGTCTCAATTCTATAGTCAGTTTTCTAGAGGTAGTTATTTTGGTTTTATTCCCATAGAATTTGTTGACAATTTCAAGTGATAAATTTTACCAGAGAATCAACCACTGACACTATGAAAAACTTTCAGACCTGGTATGTTTTTTGTTTATATTTACAAGTGACATTGTTTTATATTATTAGTATTGAGGCAACTTTGGTTTACAATGTTCTAATATATGATTTAGAGGTAGAGGATCACACCCTTCTGTGCATGTTACCATACCACACCCACCACCAAGGTGCCCATAGACCTCCACTGTAGTCCATTTTGCCCCCTCCCCATTCGGCTATGGTTTTCCCTCTTCCCCTCTGGTATTTTTTTATAGATCATTTAAAGAAAATTAGCAAGCTACTAAATGATCCCTGAATGGAGAAAGATTTAATTTGATTCAATGTTTTTGGAGGGGAAGAGACAGGGAGCAGCCAGTGTGCGGGGCTGGGTGGAGGGCGGGAAAAGGCAGGGAGAGGCCTTGCAAAACAAGTACAAGATATAAAAAGGAGACAGTCCTGCAAAGAGATGAGGCTGTCAGGTAACCTCTTGCTACCAGAAACTTCTTGGACATATGGAGAGGAAACTAACAAGTTCTCTTGAGGCCATGTCCTAACTCACACATGTGTGACATGCCAGTGAATGGAGGCCATCATGTCTGAGTTCATAGGCTAGTTTTTCATGCTTCTGTGGAACTTTCTCAGGGACACACTATCCTTGCCAAAGGATTCCTTTAGATTGTGGGGCAGGGTGTATGCAGCTCTAAGACCAATCAGTAGGAACTTGAGGTCTGGCTGACTGATTCACAGGGAACATTTCACTTGTTGGAAGCTGTTACTAGTTTTACATGACAGAGAGAAAACATCTTAGTCTCTGCTTCCAGTTTCTATCTCAAAGCTTACACAGAGACAAAACACTCTTATCAAGAATATCTCTTGCAGTATCTTGACTACAAATCTCACTTCATTGATTTTTTTAATATTTAATGTGCTTAAGATGATTTTGATAACATAGATTATCTCAGGGACATTAGAGAGGAACAATATGTTCTTTTAATGTGATAACCAAACAATAAAGCCTGGAATAAAAACAGTTTGAAAACTGCTACTAAATCCATCAACAATAGCTTCATTATAATTTAACCAACTACTATCACACATGTATTATGTAAATAAAAAAAAGCCTATGAAGTTATTTCTTCCCAGGCTCTAATTAAAGTGGGCATTTTACTCAACTCAGGCATTCTACACCACTTTCATTTCATCACTGAATTTGCATGTAAGTGGTATTGGAGGTGTTCAAGCTTATAGATGCAGTTCGCGTCCACTGGCCTTCACTGTAATATAGTTCCCATTACTGAAATCCTTCTTAAAACCATGAAGTTTCTTTTTTTTTAAAGATTTATTTTTATTTATACAAGAGCTGGGGTACAGGCCAGAGTCATGGGAGGGTGAGAGAACAGGGAGCAGAACAGGCAGAATGACTGAAATACACTGCTAAGGGGAGCAGCGGGTGAGGCAGGAGAGGTCTGCCTTGCCATGTGGGATTCTCCCTGGCTGACCAGGGATCGAACTTGTGCTGCGGAGGCTGCGGCCAGGTTCACAGAGCTGCACTCAACCCGCTGTGCCACCAGGGAGACCCCACCATGAAGTTTCTTAACTTAAGCTTAAACTAGGGATAGCATATGTTTATGTTTACCAAAATTGTGTTACTATTATGTTTACTGTACTCATGTGTTTTTTCTTTCCTTTTTTTTTTCTAAAAAAATTGCCAAATTACCATGCCTCACGTGTCATATTTACTTCACGTTTATTGAACTTATGAATCTATTATTTTCTTCCTCAATATCTGCCACAGTTGTCATACAACGGAGTTGATTTGAGAAAGAGGAATGCCAGGAGGGGTAGTAGATGGATTGAGGGGCTAACGGTGAGCA